AAGAGAAAGTGGTTCGCCGGTGAGTCGAATATGATAACTTGTTTGTTTTCAGCGACTGCTTCGGTGAACAGCTCATGTACTTTCTGAAAATCCTTCTCCATCTAAAGGGCATTCACTCTTCAGTGCTCCATTTTTCAAAATTCAGGGCACATTTTGGTCGAAAATCTTCTTTCTGGAGTAGGTTGACCGAAACTTGGTCCCTGGGGGTAGTTTGTCCCCTCATGGTGCGATGTTCGTGTTCAGGTATCAACTCTCTTGTAGCAAGTTTTTGCAAACTTGTTGTATGAAGTGTTTCAGCAACAGCGCTTTTAGCGCTACGCCAAAAACTTTCGTTTCAAAAAGAGTGTGATATGCGTGTTGTGAAGGTTAGGTTACCTGCCCAGACAAAATTCTAGCCAAAACTACCCACGGGGAAAATATCGGTCAGAATATGGCCGCAATTTCGGCGGGCGGTGAGGTAAATGCCCAAACAAGACTGCACCTACCGTAGAATTGTATTCCGATTGAATCCCAGATCGTAACACACTGAGGTCAATCAAGTCCTACTCCACAACGTACTTAAAGGCACCTTCCGCGATAAAATAAGGCTATGACCTCTCAAATGTGTCAGACGATCCGAAAGGCGATTGCGGAGGCTGCGCTACCTTTAGAAAGTGAAAATCGGCAAGAATTCCGCTGAAAGCTAACCAATTAGGCCCATGGGCGCCCCTTAGGCCCATGCCGACCCCCACCGGCTGCTAGCTACTAGCTAGTAGCCATGCTATCTCTCTCCATTCCGAATGGTGAGAGTGAGGTGATACGATAAAAGAGCTGATATCTTTATGATAACGACGAGTGGAAATTCGTACAAACATGCGTTTTCTTCATTGCATGCATGTACAAGTTGGGTCGATATGGAATCCTATTTAGGGCTTAGGGCGTTTTTCTGCTGCATGTCTTCCTAATCAGATACCCCCCCAAAAAACCAAAACCACACCAACCCCGATGTGCCATTTTTGTTCATGCCTATGTGAGCCTCCGTTACGCCGCCAATCTGTCAGGTCGCGGGCTTTGCCTAGCCTTTCCAACTTGATTAGTGGCAAGCTTTTCAGGGTGGACACGGAAGCCATCGGAACTGTACTCGGGGTAATCCTTAGAGTAACTGTGGTCCTGTGGAACTAATTTTGTATTTTTTTCCTTTCTGCATTATTATGATTATGATTATGATGAGAAACGGTCATGCAATTGACGTCATCACGTTTTAGTGAATAGAAAGTGCTTCATACGTCTCCACCTGCAGTTTAACGGACAACTGCGACAGCGATTTAGATACGTACTCGCCTCTGGGCAGCTTAGTATCGAGGTTGGGAATCGCCATGGCTACAGTGATGGTGCCTGCTCCGGCGTTACCGCGACAACTTGAAGCACTCGAATTGTGCAGGGAGGGACGCTGTGCGCGTGCTCGCCTTATCCTCTTTGTGAAAACGGGGTATGTCGTGGGATCACAGATGACCATGCAATGCACGCGGACAAGGAGAGTGCAGCCGGAAAAACGGAGAAAAAAAAAAAGATCGATTATCATTGAGGCAGTTGGGCCCCACGGGTTGCCTTCCCAGGAATTGAGTAGACTGATATACGCCTGCCGAACGGAAATTCTGCGACCCTGAGCAGGTGCTGCGTAGCCATTTTTCGAGGGAGCGTTTCCCGTATAAAGGGCCCAACTAAGTTTACAACATACCACCGAACGCCCACACGTCGCCCGCCCTCAAATGGACGGACCGTACCTGTTCTCGCTATTGCTTTATTTGCCGAAAGCCAAACAATCTGAAGCAAAGAGACTGGTTAATGAAAGCGCTGCGGTGCTTGCATTTGGGTATTTGGGGCTAATACATGCACCGCACCCACGTAGCGGTTATTGGCAAGATGTCTACGGAAAACTCGTCCGAAATTGATTTCCGAGTCATTAAGATCGAAGGCTTTTCTTTGCAGGTTTTGATCGTTTCACTTCGTTTTTCCGCCATTTCACCACTATATAGCGCCCTGCTAGCATTTTGGGCCAAATACCAAAATATCGTGCCAACTGCCTTTAAGCCTCATTTCGTTGTAGACTCTCGACCGTTGTCGTTAGCAATGTACGCTGACCTACTGCTTTTCCAGAGAAATATGTCGTGTCACGACAAGTGGAACTCGAACGTATGCTGTGATCGATGGGTGCAACTTATTCGGAGGGGAGGCCGATAATGGAGAAACTCAGTCAAAGTACCTATTTAGTATCAAGGAAAAGGTGACGTTTCACATTTTGCTGCGCATCAATATGCTCGGCTCTATTACAAATAGCAAATTTTTTTTGAAATCAGGACAACGTCTGGTTCGCTGCGGATGATGGGGCGCGTCAGTGAGGCTGCGTTTGGCACAATGCCAAACTTATTTTCCCTTCCGCTAGTTGCTGAAGCTCGTAAAGGGCAACAGTTGGTGGAAAGCGAGGAAAACGGCTGATACGGACGTTATGATACAGTCTCGCCGCTTGTTCGCTAAAACAGCTGATGGAAGAAGGGCTTTGCGTCGCGCCAAATCCATCCCGCCTCACACGCCCCTTGCTCGCAGTGAACCAGGCTGTACCTCCCGACTGACAATGAATTGCGTTTCAGTTTTATGATCAACGGTCCACCTATGGCATTTGCTTTGTCGATACATCTGTTGGGAAGTTTTTTGTTGGCGAATTCCGCGATGACGATTATAATTCATTCCTACGTACAATCATTGCAAACTTTACTCCGGTGCAGGTATGTACAGTTTCTGCGCAGTTCGGCGACGGAGGGGCATTTTGCACTTTTGCTGCTTTCCTGCTCCGGTTTACAAGTCTTACTCTGGTGAAACCTGTGAACTTTTGTGAAGCTGGAGCAAACTCGTCGAACCACCATTTCATTACTTTGTGTGGTTTGGCAAGTACTCTTTACAAGAAATGACAGGTGGTCTTTACAGACTTTAGCTAGTACCATTCCGTAGCTTCATAAGATTTCACAGTTCTTCATTTAACGGCTCGACACGAGCTCCCTCCCCTCACCTCGTCGTCAAATTGCCCCCAGTTTCCTTTCTTTTAGGTGGCTTTTGTATGGGTACTTCTTGTAATCACTTTAGTATTACGTTTTTTATAGGTTTTTTGAAAGAGGGCACATATCATCACAATGCAAGACTATACTGAACGGCGTGTTGAGTTCAGTGCAAAAAGAAGCGCTGGTACCCAAAAAGCAGTTCTATGACGCTGAAGAAACCTGAAAATCGTCAGGCTTTCTCCAATTCTCATCGCCCACAGTATATTTTATTGACTCGATACAAAGATAGTTTGCAGTTATCAAATGATCAGTACCTGGGACACGATTTCTCGACTTGGCCTGATACGCTGCGTAAAATGCTCGATCCTGATTCAGTCATTGCGAAGCCAAACACCAACTATCATCTGGCGCTTAGTGCACTTGGAGCTGTGCTTCAGTAAGTTGTCTAGGCTCACTTCTACTATTTGAGCTTCTGGTTCATTTTCTGAAAGTTTGTTTCAGTTATCTGCAACGATGCCTCATAGACGTTGACATGGTGACAATGCACGATTTTTCACTGCTTGAGCCACTAGAACAGAGCCCAGTTGAGAGACTATCACAAGGAAGCGTTTGGGCCAATCGGCAGATGATTTTGGACGGTGTCACACTGGAGAACCTCAATCTAGTCCCTGGTGATAATCGCGACTCGCAAGCCGCTTCTCTGTCGCTTTACAGTACTGTGAATAAGTGCCAGACTGCTTTCGGTGAGTTACTCTTTAGCATTAAAAAACACTCACCTGAATGGGGGGAAATGCAAGACTGTCTCTAATTTGTGTGGAGATATTCAAAGAGTCTCGCCATGGGATGGGGTGTTGGTCGGGAGACTCACTTGCGGCAATGTGAAGAAACTTGCTACTATTTCCTTGCACGTCCTTGTGCGAATGAGAAGCACAAGGTACTCACTACTTAAATCGCAATGGCGCGTATTTACAGTCTAATGCACAGTTTGCCTAGGGGGGTAGACCTTGTTGATTCTTTGGCGCACTGGTTAGACCTGTAGATTCTCATCAGGTGTGAACGGATCGGATATACCGTAGGTTAACGGGAGTTAAAGGGTCAGAGGCATTGTCAGTGGTCCATGGAAACCAGCAAAGTGTCTCACAAACGTAGATCTTCCTATCGCCTTATGAAGTGAAGTCTCTTGACCCCCTGGACCCCCAAATCCATCAAGCTTGCAGGGACCGATGGTCCAAAACCCTCTTCTTTGCCCCATATCTTTGCAAGATCACCTTTGATTTATGGCAGTGTTCGCACTTCGCGACGCTAGCGAATTGGTAGGCTGGGAAAATGGAAGAATAAGGTAGTGTGCGACAATGGAATGTAAAAGTGTTGACCTGGCGACTCCTTCAGCGACAATCTCTCAGTTCATGCATCCGCCGAATCTCCTGTTCCCCAGTTCCCCAGGCGCTGCGAAATATGAGCGCGGCCTGAGAGGTCGAGCATAAGAAGTACTTAGCTCAAAGCTCGCTGCTCGAGCCCACCAGAGCTCTACGCTGGGCCTTCGAATGCGTTCTTCCCCTTCTTTGCCATGCTTCTCAGTGAGACTGATACTATCTTTTTATAGGAAAACGATTGTTGCGGCAATGGATCTGCTCCCCAACCTGTGATATGACTGTGTTGAAAGATCGTCAAGATGCCATTGAGTACCTTATGGATTCTAGTAATGTGAGAGTCATTGAAAAAATTGGCGAGTTACTACGGTCATTACCTGATCTCGAAAGGCTTCTGCAAAGTGAGTTCGAGCACCTTTGTGTCGCCTCTGTTGTCCTGTTACAGTACGCAATGACAGATCCATCTCTACTTAAGAGAAAACTGGCCACGGATTTGATTGTGCTCGTTGCAGCCGCTACGTTAATGGTTCGTGGTCTCTGTGCAAATCGATATTGGTGCGTGTGAATGTGGTGTCGAGTCTCGACTGTCAGTCAGTTATGTCAGCCTTTACCGCAAAGGAGAACTAAAGGATAGCATCAATTAGCGAAGAAAGCTTCCTTAGCGATCCAGTTCATTCCCTGTCACGCACCCTATCGTTTTTAAGAACTGCATTTGTAACAGTTGCCGATCCAGGCGGAGATGTGCTTGAAAGTTTTCTCGTACACCCTCTGGCCAATTTTACGGTACATGACGCTGTCATAGGTCTCAGCCGCGAACTGGCAACTGTAAAATTGCCTGAATGCTCACTGCTAATTCCGTGGACACTCCCTCTTCAGCGTCGAGATATGAGCTGTGTTTTCGGAATATTAGCTATTTTCATGTTTAGGATTCACACAATGGGCCTCAAATATCGCGCAGAGTCGCATCCGGATAGCCGCGCTGTCATGTTCGAGGCGAAAAATTATAGTAAACGAAAAATCAAAGATCTCTTGAGCACCCTTGCCGGATTCAAGACCTGCAGCGATCTCATTGAGTTCTACGGAAAGATACGACTGAACGGAAAAGGGTGAGAAATTCCAAAAGTCGCTTTAGGCGCAGGCATTGTGTTCGTTCGAATAAACCTGATGATGTGAGATTTATTCAGAACCCGATTATTAGACAGTTGCCTCGGTTCCGGAGGAAATGATCTTGCCGCTCATTTAGATCATTTTGAGGTGATATTTTGGATTACGTACCACTGTGGTGCTATGGGTAAAAGAAGTAAACTAAAATTCAGAAGTTATTCAATCATAGTGTGGCAGAGAAGGAAGGAATGATCATTCCGGAGAAGGGACAAGACGAAGAATACGATGATGCTTGTCGCGCCGTGAATGAAGCTACACATCAGTTAGACGTGTATCGAAGGGAAACAGAGGAGAAACTGCACTGCAAAGTGGGAATTTTACATCTTTTCAAGCAAAATCGACTCTGAAGTGGTGTTCTTACTCCCCCTCCCTCATTTTCTGCGTTTCCATGATGGTCTGGTATAGAATGTATCCCAATTTCCTGTCGTGGTATAAAGTTGAGTAACAACACGAGGTGATACTGAAATGATTATGCTTATAGATAACCTTCTTTGGTACTGGAAATAGGCGATTCCAAATGGAGATATCAGAAAACGTCAGCGTTCCTCGTTACTTTGAATTGAAATCTCGTCGAAAGGTGATTTGTTCCAAGTTTTGTTGCTAAGCCTACCTTAGATACGGTAATTCAGGGCTATAAACGGTACTCTACTGAAGAACTTGATGAACTCATAGAAGAACTCAGGAAAGCTGAAGCTCGCAAGGAAATGTTACGAGAGGATGGAACGCGACGAGTGTTCTCTGACTTTGACACAAGGTAGGAAGACTGAGCGGTTCGTGAAAGGCGGACTTGCTGCACAAACGAAACACGCTGCATATGCTCCTACCTGTTGTACAGCCATGGTCCTCTGTAACGCAGCTAGGGCGCAGATTTCTCATCAGTTGTAGTGGGCTCGATGGCAATGAACAAAGCCGCCCTGACTGCCCTCCCACCCGCGCCGCTTCACAAGCCCTATCGTTTGCAGAGATCATCAAGGTACGCCTGTGGGTAAACTTCTCAGTAGGCCTGCCGATAATTCCGAAACCTGATGGATAACGTTGCTAAATTGGAGTCTTTACTTTCTACCGAACTCGTACTCTGGAATGTGAATGTGATGAAATCGCACGGCGCAATGCGAAACTTTCAAATATCACCCTCAATTTCATGTTCTTGTCCCAGCTTGGTTTTATTATGACGTTTACACTTCTGTCTTACACCACAGTTCGCGATGCTGCAAACATAAGCGTTTAGGGTGCTGAATTACGGGCTTAGACTTGGTCCTAAAGTAGTAGAGCACATCAATTCTCATACAGTGTGAGGTGCAGATTCAAGACTTGCCTCGAGTCGAGCCTGCCTGCCTAACTCAACACGTTCTGACAGCCTGTCTCATCCTTCTTCATGGATTTCCAGCGAAGATCCAAAGAAACTTAGGGTGCTTTCAGGAGACAAGTGTGGTCAGATGTGCTAAATCGTATTGCCCAAGTGGACGTCCTCCTGTCGCTGACACGGTATTGTCAGACTTGCGGTCTAGCTTTATGCCGGCCTGAGTTTGTATGCGATTCCGAAGAGGTGTGCCACTTTCTAAATCTGGTGCTATGAAGTTTACGTTCCTAAAAGTGTTTGTTTTAGCCTATACTATCAATAGAAGAAGGTTATCATCCTTGCCTGGCAATAAAACTACCTACAAATGATGCCACAAGTGCTTGCTCATATATAGGTTAGTATTTTTTATTTAATTAATAAGTTTTTTTTCGTTGCTATGCGTTCTAGTAACCTATTTCTTGCAGCAAATGACTCACAACTTGGGGGAGGACGTCCGCGAACTGTACTTCTAACAGGACCGAATATGGGTGGAAAGTCTACTTTGATGAGACAGGTTGCCGTGTTGACAGTACTGGCGCACATGGTATGTCATTGACGTAAAGAACCTTTTGTGAGAGCATTTATAAAATGTTACTGGAGGGCTCCTTCGTGCCTGCGAGATCCATGAAACTGTCTCCGGTCGATCGAATTTTCACGAGAATCGGTGCCAATGATCGGTTGATCTGCGGTAGGTAACTTGTTTTCTTCCGAGAAGTCCCACCTAAAAAATCTTGATTCAGGTCAGTCGACGTTTTTCGTTGAGCTTCGGGAAACTCTGGTTATCCTGCGGAATGCAACGAAGCACTCCTCTTGTGCTTATTGATGAGCTCGGGAGGGGAACTAGGTGCGTTTGCCTAATAGTAAGTCAAGTTTTTCAATGTTGCGATTGGCATTCCGATGGTTGATTATAACTTGTGGACCTGGCCGTCGTCTTGGGCAATAATTCGGCTCTGTCTCAGATTTCTAGGAAGAAACCCTCGAATACTAACCTAAGGGTGGTAAAGGGTAACCAGTACCTTAACTTTGGTCAAATATTGGAACTCTTCCGAGCGTGGCTAGCATTAGGTTCGCTGAATGAATCGCTCGGTCCGAAAACCTTGGAAGGCGGGCGGTTTGGCTCGGCAGGGGCAACGAATGGTACTCAGGGAAGCTTGCACAGGCCGCTTTGTAAAGACCGTGAAGTCCTTCAACCAAAGTGGCTCACTTGTATTATACCATTTCGCAGCTTCGCAAGGCTTTAAAGGTCCGCCAACTTTAGAATCTTTTGGTTGACTGGAACTAGTAAGAGAAACTGATGAACTGGCAGGTTGCCCCTCACCCCGTTAGCCCATCAGCGCCTTATAATCTCAAATCCTTCCCCAAAAAAATTGATGAATGGCTGCGTCTCCAGGCGTCATGAGTTGTAAGCCCACTCCTTCAGTGCACTGGTGGGTGCAAATGAGCGCTCTTCCACTAATACAAATTGAATCGCTGTCTAGCCTCCTAGCCAACGCTTCCACTACAACTATCTGAAGTAGTCGCAGTAAGAGAAATCTGAAGAGTAGTGATAAGACAGGAAAAAAGTCTAGCAATGTTTCAGCACATTTGATGGTACAGCAATCGCTTCAGCTGTGCTTTCTGACGTTTCACGCCGTTTGCAGTGTCGTTCATTTTTCTCTACGCATTATCATTCCCTTTGTAAAACTGCAGCGGTCAATCCGAATATTGCATTAGCTCATATGGTGAGTGTCTCAACGTGAAAGCATCTGCAGAATTTCATTATTATGCTGCTAAGGCATCTGGCGGCTAGGCCAATTATCTGACCCTACGCCAATTCCAGGCATGCATGGTGGAAAATGAGAATGAGTCTAACCCTACTGAAGAATGTGTAACGTTCCTCTACCGTCTGACTGATGGAGTTTGCCCGAAATCGTATGGATTCTTCGCAGCACGATTGGCTGGAGTAAGGCCAGAGGTTTGTTGGTTCAACTGTATTATGAAAAGATTTATTCTACTTTACCAAAGGTTCTGTTTTGATATTACGTTATACATGTAACTGCTGTAAGGATATGGCCCAAAAGGGAAGAGCTGCGAGGGTAAGAATGGTCCCGGTGGCATAGCGGATAGAAAGCGTGTGGTGCGGCTCTAGTCCTGTCTAGGGTCAAGAGTTTTGCCCACATTTCAGCATTCTTGTGATTTCTTTTTTTACATTTGGTCGAAAGTGAAGCTTAGCCTTTTGAACTTCATCTACAGCGCTCCGAACCTTTTCGGCTTCTTAAGTTGGGCGCTTGTCCACTAAAGATAGGAGCAATTCGTGAACTTCTATCAACATACGGGCAATTTTATAAAGTCCTGTAAACTCTTGTAAAGCTGGCTGTGGACTGGTAATACATTGTTTCTTATGAACAGATGCCATTTAGTAGCTTCGCAGGACTTTACAGGACTTTCAAGAACTGCTAGTATGCTGACCAGAGTTCACAAAACGCTAGCTCCCCAACTCCATGACAGAATTGCCCCTTCAAATGTACAATCGCGTCACATTGTTTGATTTTGAGATTTGAAAGGAATGAGTACTTACCGAATGGGGTCAAGGTGGTGGGATGGTACGGTAGATTTACGAACCACCACGAAAAAACGATTGATAATCAAAAAGAAAGAAATGTATATCAAGGTCTGACCTTTCCTGCTGTCATTCGTTCCTGAAAGGGTTTGGTAATGCAGTGTAAAATGGTATTAGTCAGTGCGCTGCCTCTTTTATGATTTCTTTTGTGCCAGCGAGGTTTAGGTGGAATTCCTTACTATGCCCTGACGTTTCTACTGGTGGTTTGGAACTGGTCTCTCTACACCGGCAAATAACTCCCTCCTGTGAAGTTTTTGACAAACTATCAAAAAACCACCGTAAAATCCGAAATAAGGGCAAAGAGTTACCCAGTCCACCACTGCGAGAGTGGAGGCAGTCGCTCAGTTGGTTGTGAGTACAGTGAACGGGACTTACTCCTTCCAATGT